ATGTAGGAGGACAGAAACAACCTGCCTTCCTCCTCAGATCTCCTTCTGTGCTGGCATATTGCATAATCTTGTTTCTGAATTTGTCAAGCTGAATTTTTAAACAATACAGATACAGTGACCAGTTCTACAATTAGTATTTTGTATTAGCACATACATTCGAGTTTGGATGAATATTCCATGAGTAAAGGTTTAGGACTGTTATTTTTAATTTCGTATATCAGAAAGTTTCTTCAGGTAAATGAAAATACTAAAAAAAAAATAAATATAAAGCAATTAAGTTTCCATACAAGTGAAAAATTATATGGTCTATAATAGGTAATAGGACTAGACAGCATTTTTGAAAACAGGTAAGCATTACAAAATGTGTTATTACTGATTGTGCTAATTTGAATCCTGTGTTCACACAGGCTTCAGCAATCATCAGTTTCTCATTGCACCTGCAGTTACCCAATATAAACTCAAAATGTAGGCTGTAGTACAATTTTGATTAATACTTATCCTTGAAAACCTGGTTTTATAACTGCTGTTGCTATAAAAGCACCACCACTGAAAACGAGTAACTTCACTTGGTGTACTTGCCAACCACTGATTCCAGGATTCTTCTAAAGGAGGGTTGGAATAGCAGCCTCCTAAATTGATGGTGTTAATAATTAAAATAGGAAGCAGAATCTTTAAGTCAGTGATTTAACATACTGTGTCTGTATGGGTGCACCACTGTTCAGTGAAATATGAAGGTGAACTATTTTACTGTTGTCTGACAGTAAACACAGAACATTTCTAACAGTTCAAAGATACTATCCGTATCTCTGATGCCCAGGAGCTCAGCAACCAGTGAATTAAAGGAAGAGAGGTTTTGAGGCTTTTTCCTAAAGTTCTGTATTAAATATTCTGTGTAATGCCTGGTTGTGAACGACTTCTCAGTGCAGATGCCTCTCAAGCTATGAAGCTGTGCCCTGATAATTTATTCAGCAGAAAATGGAAATCTTCCCAAACATGGAAGCTATGCACTCATTAATCATAAAAGCTTTATGAGAAGAGGAAAACATTATGGAAATTACATTTCAATGCACCCTCTTCAGTTTTATTCATTGCTATATAGCATTATTTAGGGTAGGAAAGATCGAATCAATTATTATAGTGTCTTTGGAGAAAACTCATTGCGTGGCTTCTCATATATTTCATACATCGCTCTTCTTCATCTTTAGGAGCAAACAGCATGTGAGTTTTCTATTTCAGAAATACTGTTAAAAGACTAAAGAATCCAACATGAAGATTCCTCTATGAAATTGAATGTTCAAATTACAGCAAATCTTAACATTCAGCGAAGATTTAAACTGTAACTTTTAAATGTAACCTGTATATAACCTCCTCTGGTGAAAGTCATTTAGGTACAAATGACTGTTCAAAATCCAGAATTCTCAAATAACTGCTTATTTTGACAGATTAGGTGTAATATCTTTTGTGTTTCTTTGCAATACTGAAATGAACTGAATGCATTAATTTCTTCTCTGCTATTTTTATTTGGCATTTCTCTTGTCAACTCTACTTTGTACTCATATATCATGTTAATTACTTTCCTGTAGGCACATGTAAAATTGCACAGCTGCCAACTTGGCCAAAAACTGGATTAATTCAAAATTTTTGCATTTGCATTCAACACTGAAACCTTTCCACAAATTTTGTCCTAAAGTTGGAATATGCTTTGCTGACCAGAAGAAAAGAAAATTTTAGTTTTCATAAAAATTTAAGAAATTTAGTTTTAATTCTGTGAGGCACTAAGTTCCATTTTTTCCTTCATCTCTGTTTTCAAATCATCAAACAACCATTTGCTAATGAAATGCCCATCAACCCTTTGCAGGAATAGCTCCAGCCACGGAGAATCTATTTGCAGCAGTGTTGTGAACTGTGGATATTCAACAAGCCCACTGCAAGGGCAAACTGCATACTGTCAGACAGAACTCATGAAAGAAATTTCTCACATTACAGCTACCTGACATCTTTTTAATACCTAAGTATTACAATGAGTTCAATAATCATAAATTATTATTATATATATAAAATCTTCTTTATGGATTGAACTTACTGTAATAATTAGGTATTATATACATATATATTATACTTAGGTATTATATATACATATATATACACAAACATATATACATATATATGTGTATACATATATGCATGCATACATATATATATACACACGTACTGAAAATTTTGGTCAAAATTAATTGTAACCTATGGACAAAAATTTTAAAATCCATTTTGAAAGAACAGATTATTTTTTTGAGTTAATTTCTATTTCAGTGGATGGAAGGCTCAACATGAAGTTCATGCATTGTTTACTTGGTCAGGGGTAGTTTTTTGAAAGTGGTTTAGCAACTAACTCCCAGAAAAAATCCTTATCATAAGGACTTAACTGGGATTCAAATAATGCCTTAGCTCGTATCAGCCTTTCTCTCTGCACACATGTAAATAATATCCATTTGGAATAAATCAATAACAATTAAAATTTTACAGTTTCCCAAATATGTTTGTTGTATAATGAATAAATAATTACAGTGAACCTCTAAGCAAACAAAATTCAAACAGATATGGTGGAAACAAACTGTGTGACCTCTGAATATCTCCCCTTACACCACCCTCAGAAAGCTGTTTGCCTTTTGGTTCTCAAGACCCATCCTGAAAAAATACACGACATAATGTGCCCTACAGAGAGAGTATCTTGAAGGAACTAAGAATCTTCTGCTTGTGTAGTATCTTGAACGGAGTTACCATCCTGATTATATCCTTTCATCACTACAGTCAGAATTATGAACAATATTACCCCATCTACTCACTTTGCGTAACATTTTTTTTTTCTGTCTGCAAAGGGCAATAAAAGAAATCACAAACAACCCACATCGAATGCACTGTAACAAAGCAGAGAGTTGCTATATGAGCTCACCAGGGCAGAGTGCAATATTGCAAGGTTTATGTTGTGTTTCAGGTCCATCACATGATCTTCCCCCATACTGGGGAGGTATACATGACCTTGTCCTAGTTCTTTGGCCTCGACCACATGTGAATGAACACAAACTCCAGGGTGACCATTCCTCCCAAACGCCATGTACTGCAACAAACCAAACAGATTTTAACCAGAAAGACACACAAGTAACAGAAGGATTTCAAAATAAACAAGATCAGTATTTTAAATGGGAATTATTTTGTCAACTTCAAGGAAATCAGTACATAAGTAATCTTCAGCATTGGCAAATAAATCCTTCATAAAAATTAGTTATTTTCAATTTTCAAAGTATATTTCCTCTAAAATATATTTAACTTTGAACCATTTTCCCTAATCTTTAAACTAATCTCACCACCACATTTTCTTTTCTTTCATTCTTTTAAAATGGCTTCCCTTTACAAAAGTTAGTTATGATATCTTTGGTGCCTGATTTGAGATATATTTAATATCCCTGATTTTCAGGAGACTAGTCTTTGTGAAAATCAGGTATACACTTTATTTATCAAGGCAACTCTGTAAACTGGAAGCAATCAAAATTAAGCTTTCTTTTGAAAATATAGGAATAAATGCAATAATTTCTTACTATGTCACCATCATAAATCAGGGCTGTTATCTTACAATTGTTTCATTTATTTAAATTCTGGTGGAAATACGGCAGCACATGTGCTTCATTACCTTCCTCAAAAATTCCAAGACCACACAAGCAAAAGAGATCTGTGCTATTTCCTTACATGAACATATTCATTGAGATAACATACACAGTAATACATGCATCACTCTGTCTTTAAAAAATGCTCACTCAAGAAACTGCAAACAGCTTTACAGTACATAATAAATTACAAACACACACCAGTATTTTTATATACAAGTATTTCATAAAATTAATATAAAGAATCATGGAAGAGGCATCCTTCTCTACCATAAATTTTTTCCACTGGAGGAGAAACCAATATATCATATCTATATGAGCTTATATACCACATGCATTCCCTTTTCAGAAACAACTGGAGTGAAATTCTCAGAAAGTTCTCTAATGCATTATAGTTAAGCATGTACTAGTAAGACAATTCCATACATGCACTGGTAAAACAGTGCTTTATAAACTGAATAATACTGCAAAAGAAACTTTAGTTATTTTTCTGCTGCTTAAATAAGAGCAGTTGCACAGCTTTAAATTAGATTCTGTGAGAACATGAATGTAGTAATGAGAATGGTAGTAATGCTAGGCATTTAAGAAAAATCCAGAGACTTACTGCCCAGACAGACCATCACGCTCGGTATCACATAACTCTGTGCGTTTCTACAACCCTGTCTGTTTGAAGGGTGTCTGGAGGGTGAAATAGTGTATAACATCCCAGTGTATCATCAGTAATGATTCACAACATTACAGAAGAAATAGATTTTCTGGTTTGTCCTCACTTTTTTCCAACACTGTGAAAGAACTTCTCGTATATAGGTTTCCTTTGCCCTGAAGGCACGTATCACTTGCCCAGTTTCTAAAAAAAAAAAACCCAAAACCAAACCTTTTTCTTGTAGGGATTAGAATAACATTTCCTGAGGTGAAATTCAGTTGCAAGGGTGCGGAAGGACATTCAGTTCCCTGGCGTATTATCACAAAATCATCAGTAAGATCAAGGGGAATTCTACATGTAGGTAAGTTCTGTTGCATTTCATTAAAAGTAAGGAAAATTGTCATTCCAGATGTTACATTGAAGTAAAAAGTTTGTTAGCTAACTTCTGAGAAATCGTACCTGACAGAAAATGTCAAGCTTCATTCAGAGAAGATTTTAACTCACTAGATAACAGCTCAATTGATGAAAGGTTTTCAGTTGGTCACATACGAGTGGTCAAAACCCACAATAATTATTCCACATCCTACATGGCTAGCTTTATTAAAATTATTTTATTCTAAATATCACACAAATCTGCATTGTATTACCAAAAAACCCCAAACCCTCAGGAACATTCAAAATTAACGTTAAAGTGAGAGATTTTAGTCTATTTATTTTAGAAACCTTGATTAACTGTGCAATCTTGGTCAAAACCAGGAAACCTAACTCTTCTAAAACTAGTAAACTGATGACTATATCTGCATATAATCCCTTACGTTTCATTTTTTTCTCAACAGGTACTATATTTAGACAGTTACTCTGATCCAGCCATATGATCTGAAGATTCTTTTCCCATTGGCAAAGTATTAGATTCTGAACTCAGACACATCTCTAAGACTCCAAATTTTTTATCATCTGAGAAGAATTAATGAGAAATCAATTTGTCAGATCAGATTCCAAAACAGTAATCAGTAATAACAACGATATAATCTCATCTCCTGATACCACAATGTTTGATTAAGATGCTCAGGTGCAACAAGAAGAACTTCAAAAAGTACAAAACAGCAAAACAAAATTAATCCAAATTAGAAAAAGATTCTTCTGTAAAAAATAATAAATTAGAAAGTTCTTGACACTATGTAGACACAGGCTGAGATTTTTCAGGGTACATACGAGTTTAAGTCTATTGTTTAATTGTGATTTGGTGCTGCCAAAATGTTGTAAGTTTGTTGTCTTCATTTAAAAATGACAAAAACATGTGCTGAGGGGCTCTTTAAAGATACTGTCTGGAACCAAAAGGTTGTATATCTCTTCTGGCAAGAGTCACTTCATGTTAGCAGCAACATAGAATAATTCCTTTGTGATTTTGGATCTGAACATAAGCCAAAACAAAATGTTTCACTTCGGGTGGACTCAAACTTACAGCAGCCTCTATCTGTTTGTGGTTTAAAGTACACTGTGTCCAAAATCATCTTCCGTGACAAATTTTAGCTCATTAAGTAAAAATTTCACAGTGCCTTCTTGTATGTATAGACTTGTATATCTGAAACTAGTAGATAACTAATAAAGTCAAGGATGGAAAAGGCATAACAATAAGAAAACAACCAATGTCAGCAAACAAGTATCAAGGAGAATTAGTCTGTTCAATGCATTACAGAACTGCCCAGTATTATCCAGATCAGCTTTAAAAGAACAACTTAATTTAAAGTTTCTGACCTTTGAATATTTTTATTTTGATACTTTGTTTACATTTTCTTTCTTTAATACTATTTTTTAAATGCAAAAAACCGTATAACATCTCATGAATTATAGCCAGATGAGCTATGCCAAATTACACCAGATGGAGAGCTGGCCCACAGCGGAGTTACTGTTTTCTATAACACAGTTTCAGATGCAAGATTCATTATTTGGGACAAAAATATTCAGAATACTGCCAACTTATCTGTCAAAAACATTGCTAGTACAATGACTTTGGTTTACTGCAGAGCATCTTTCCCTTCTCTCTGCCACTCTGTGAACCTAATCACGTTGAAGTGAACACCCACAGTGTTCACAATATGCAACTGCTGTGAAGTGGGAGGAGGTGTGAGGCCATGCTGGCCTTCATCCTACCAGCATATTTTGGGAGATTTTTATTGGGGTTTAAATGCTTTTCATTTGTTCAGCTTTAAACTGAACAGATATTGAAAAGCTATTACGGCCATTGACATTTCATTGCAAGTGGTACTGCTCCAGTACTGTTTAGTATCTTCATCAATAACACAGACAGTCGGATCGAATGCACCCTTGGTGCAGACAACACCAAGCTGAGCAGTGCGGTTGATACTCCTGAAGGACGGGATGCCATCTAGAGGGACCTGGATAAGCTTGAGAAGTGGGCCTATGTGAACCTCATGAGTTTCAACAAGGCCAAGTGCAAGGTCCTGCTCATGGGTCAGGGCAACTCCCAGTATCAACAGGGGGAGATGAGGGATGAGGGGATTGAGAGCAGCCCTGAGGAGAAGGACTTGGAGGTACTGGTGGATGAAAAGCTGGACATGACCTGGCAATGTGCGCTGGCAGCCCTGAAAGCCAACCGTACCCTGGGCTGCATCCAAAGCAGCGTGAGCAGTAGGTCAAGGGAGGGGATTCTGCCCCTCTGCTCTGCTCTGGTGAGACCCCCCTGCAGTACTGCCTTCAGCTCTGGGGTCCTCAGCACAAGAAGGACATGGACCTGTTGGAGCGAGTCCAGAGGAGGCCACGAAGATGATCCAAGGGCTGGAGCACCTCTCCAGCTGAGAAGACAGGCTGAGAGAGTTGGGGTTGTTCAGCCTGGAGAAGAGAAGGCTCCAGGGAGACCTTAAGAGCTGCCTTCCAGTACCTAAAGGGGGCTTATGAGAAAGCTGGGGAGGGACTTTTTAGCAAGGCCTGTTGCAACAGGACATGGGGTAATGGTTTTTAAACTAAAAGAGAGTAGATTTAGACTAGATATAAGGAAGAAATTTTTCACAATGAGGGTGACGAAAGACTGGCACAGGTTGCCCAGAGAGGTGGTGGATACCTCATCCCTGGAAACATTCAAGGTCAGGTTGGATGGGGCTCTGAGAAATCTGATCGACTTGGAGATGTCCCTGCTCATTGCAGGGGGGTTGGACTAGATGACCCTTAAAGGTCCCTTCCAACCCAAAACATTCTATGATTCTATGAAATGTTTGAAATGGTTTAGGGCAGTCCTGCTCCTGCCATGTGTTTCTTCACCCATAAACCTGAAAATGGTGATCCTCAGATAATTTTTTTGGTAAAAGTTGTTGAAGGCAATGGAGAAGGAGAAATAGAAACTAATTGAGATGATTTACAGGCACGTTCTTTCTCCTTCAAGTTTTAGCTGTGTTAGAAATGATCCACTAAGTTGAAATGAATCAGTGGACTGCAGTACTGAATCCTGAGATTTCCCTGCTCATAAAAGAACCAGGAACAACAATGGTTACCTGAGCTATGTTTTGTTGCCTACTATGCTGCACTTTTCTAGAAGGCTCTTGATTCCAAGACAGACTGAATTACCTAATGGACTTCGGCCCCTGAGATAGTACTGGTCTGGAACAAACATAAATAAACCAAAAATTATTTAAATAATGGTTCCTTCATGATTTTACTAGAATTATCAGGAGTACTATTTTGAAATGCAAGGTTTTATTTGAATACTCATACATACATATATGTACACATACATACACACACACGTATGTATGTATATATGTATAATGATGAAGTTGGTGAAGCCCAGTCTCAAAATTTTCCAGGACAGTTAGATCACAGAGAGATGTGTTCCTTAACATCCCAGTGAGCACCCTGGACACTAAAGGAAGTGTATTAAGGCAATAGATGAAAATACTCTGGAAGACTTGCATTAGTATTTGCAAGTTTAACAGGTTCCTCTGAAGCTTGTGGACGGATGCTTGAAGTATAATCCAGTAGGCAATTCTGCATACTTTATTTTGAAGAAGTAACTTTTTGATTAGGAATCATTATTCCAGCTCTCAAAATGCCTCACCTAACTTTTATTAATCATGAAAACATATAATGAATACACCTCAGCAGATTTTTTTTATTTGTAGGTTACAAGGACAGACCACTGTTATGTTTTTGTGCATTTTCTAGTTTATGCTCTATGATGTATAATCTTGCTGTGTTAATAGACTTCAAAAGTTGTATGGAATGAGTGGTACAGGTTTGGGTACACAGGCCAGATCCCAGCTATTTATGTATATGTTTCAATCGTTTTGTCAAGACTAGTGTACAAACTATGCATTTTGTTATGCATGGATCAGGGATAATCCTGAACTATGCAACTCTCTGGAGTCAGTACACATAATGTAATGAGGACAGAGGATATTTAGGCTAATAATTAAAGAGATGTTTGAAAAATTAATGGAGCTGTGACTAGGAAAAGCACATTTCTAAATTGCTAATCTTGCATGCTGCCACACAGTAGTGATCCTGTAGCCAGCCAGAGACCAACATTAATAAAGTTATGGTAACTATGTGAAACAACATGCAAGATCAAGCCCAGAAGACTATTTAGGTAAGGTATCTCAAGAATCAGCTGTGGTGATCTGAAAAGGAAAGTATCTTGGCAGTACCACTGTTAGCCAGTGAGAATTGGTAGCCATTGCTCATTCTGCGTATCTGGGAACGAAAGCTGTACCCTGAATTGTGAGCTCATGTGTAAGGAAAGAACTCCTTTGTGATCTGAGAAATATGGAGCAGCATTTTTGTCTGAGCATTGTTTGGAATTTTGCTAGACAATGTGATTTTTAAGAATTAACTTTTTTCCAGTTTACTTTGACAGCAAATTAATTACCTTGGTTTTTGCATTACATGGATTTTTTTGTTTGTTTTGATATGAAAAATTCTCATTCCTTACTGGAGAGAATGAAAATAAAATTCTGTAAAATTAGCTGATTTAAATGCCGTTCTGCTTCTTGGGTAATACTAAACGAGCAAGAAAGCAGGCAGAATTGCATAACATTGTGAGTGCTGGACTGTGTGTTTTCATGTCCATACTTCATGCAGTTTCAAAGGAATCTTTAAATCTCTTTTTGATTGTTTGGAATGTTTGCTCTTTTCTAGTTCTCTTTTTTCACTTCTTATTTCTTACTTTCAAGTTGAGAGTTCTTTTGCAATGTATCCCACCTCTGGCTAGCCTAACCTTTTTAGAAATAGCTGCCATTTTTGTGTGGAAACACTTCAAGCGATTGAGTTCAGCCCTGCCTGGGGGTTTCTACCTAGAAATATTAGAAAATCCCATATGAACTGCTTACCTAAAGGACAGTAGTAAAGCATTAGGTGCTGAGAACAGTTATTACAGTGATGGTTTATCTAGACACAATCTTTTAAGTTGTTTTCCATTACAGAGGTTCCCTAAAAGCTTATAATGCTGATATACAAACTCTGATGTGATCACATATGCACTTCCCATCGGATATCTTTCAATACACAGTAACATCAAAGTTTGTTTCTACATATTACCCATGACTCATTGAGACAAAGTCCAGGGGATTCTCTGTATATGACTATTTACTTCAAAAATGAAATGAGCTTCCCCAGAAGCTAAACATGGCTCACCACCCTCTTGGGATCAAATGTTACAAAGACCTGAGGAATTTGTGCATCTGAAGAGAGGCATAGAGTTTTTTTGCATTTCAGACATAGCAGAGGAAAATGAATGTAGTCACAGGGCATAAGCCATCCCACAATGGCAATAACCAGATCTACGGTAGAGTTTAGCAAGTCTGTCTGTTCCCCTTAGTGTATAACTACTGCTGAACTCCAACTATGTCCAGATTTCTGAGACAAAAGGAGTAGGAAAACCGTGATGCAAGATACTGATGACCTTTACCTTGTGTCAAATGTAAGAGAGTCACTTTTTGTCTGATCTTTCTTATTTTGATGGGTAGCTGTTGCCCTTTCTTGCCCGAACAATGTAAAAGGAAGTCCACGAAGACATTACTGTGCAAAGAACATTGTCTGGCCCATTGCCTAGAAGACAGTATTCTAAATGGAGAAACAATTGCAGTGTCGAATAATATATGTTAACTTAACCAACTCTGTTAATCAGTCTCTGCTTCTTAATGTGTTGATGATCCGGATTTCTTCCCTAGTTTGTATTTCGTACTCATGCTATACCTTCTCTTTTCTGAGTGAAAATCAGAGAATATAGACTTTTTTTTAGAAAATCTGAAACTGTTAGAAAAAAGGGACTCTCGTTCCATATCTTGATTGTTCTGAAAGTAAAAATAACAATCTACATGACAAAATTTCACAGCTGAATAGAATTACACTTCTCTGCTCTAATTGAAATGCCCTTATGAAATTCATGTTAATAATAATAATAATAATATATAGTTTCAAATTCTTATCATTATACAGTTCAAAAACATCCACAATTTTATTTATTGGCTGCTAACACTACCTGGACAGAGGGCAGTGTTATTGCAAACCCTTGATTCTCTTAAAGGGCCGCTGCAGTGTGTCCCGTAAGGTGATACACAAGTTCTGGTTCGCACCTGCGACCCTTGACCACAAGTAACTGAACACGTACTCCACTGGGCCCACTCTTCAACACCAGATTCACCTGTATTCAAGACAACAAACAAACATGAATATAGACATAAGTATTAATGAGACCTTTTTTTTTGCTGAAGCTCATTATCATCTGCTCTTATAAATCAAAGAAAAAAGTACCACACCAAAATAAATATTTAAAAGTTCATGGAGTAAAGCAGCTGTGAAAATGAGCAATGAATAGAAAATAAAGACACCTACAATGCTGCAGTCACATAACACCTGTCAGAGGGAAACGCTTTGATCACTTAGCATCATTTACAACTTTACGAGAACTACTGCCCTTCAACACTTCAGAAACAACACTGCACTCAGGATGCTAGAAGAACACAGACAATTCTTTTTATGTAATAGCAAAGGGTTTATCTTTGATATTTATACTTATCACTCATGAATGAAGGCTAGGTAGTAGTTTAAGGAACTCTACTAGTAAGGGAATTCTGATTAAAAAACCAAAACAAACCAATCCCTATTTTCTTATCTTTTCCTCAGAAGAGGAAAGTCATCTAGCACTTGAGAGAGATCCTTGGCAAACAGAAGCACTTTGCTTACCAAATTTTAACCTGAACCACGGGATGGGAACTTTGGTTTGATCATTTACTGCACAGACCTGCTCCTTGCTTTTGATCTACAGGTGTGCTAAACTCTTGGATCTGCTAGACCTCATTACTGTGTATAGTACATACCACTATGTTCAAAATTGTCAGAGGTGATTTATTAATACCGTACATTTGAATAGCTCATTTTTTTTTTATTGTTGAGAGATAGCACATTATATTATTTCTATTTTTCTGAAAGTAATGCATAAATTCTTCTTGCACGGATGTTCAGGAAAGGATTTTTTAATTTAGTTTTCATGAACAGTCATACACACAATTCTGGAATTCCTTTCCCAAAGGCACTCCTGTTCAAAAAACTGGATCCCTTTAGTATTCTCGGAAAGCAAATACAAAGATAACGTGAACATACCTGACTGAACAATTTGAGTAAATAATTGTGGATTCATGTTTATCTTCTTCCAGTAAAAAAGAGTACAAACAGCATGCTGAAACCTCTATTACACCCTTGATTTTTAAACCTAAGTCCTTTTTGAAACAAATGGGATTTTCTGCTCTAAAATTAGTGGCATAATACAACCTTCAGACTGTAATAGCTTGCTTAAAATTTCAGTTAGCTCAGTATACCTCTAGCCTTCCAGAAGTTTTTATATTGGTCGCAATCAAGGGAATATCTACAAACCAGGAAGACTGGTGCTATCTCCCAAGGATGCAGTAAATGATACACTATTTCTTGAAACTGTGCTTTTGTAACATGCATCTGTCCAAGCTCTTTTCTCCTGTTTCCAGAGGCCAAGCATGAAACCTTTGCAAAATGCTTGTCTCTGCTAGTCCTCTAAGAAGCAATTCTAAGGCTATTCAATGCTTTAAAAAAAAAAAAATGCTTCTTATTCAGTAACAAGACAGAAAACTTTATAATTAGCACACAAATCCCTCTGCTTTTCATAAAATAACATATAATTCTAACAATTTCTATGGACAAGGACAAAATGATGAGATTTTTTACATACAAAAATTGACCAAACTGATTTTTGTAGTAATTTTCCTTTTTTTTTAGGTAAAAAAATGAGACATTTAACCACTGACTGTTGTTTTAATAATTTTTCTGATACCAATTTAGCATTTTGATTAGGTTGTTACACGGCTTGGGTTCAAGTTAGACAATATAATATGGTAAATATAGCTAATATGTAGGTAGATATTAACAATTATACAATATGTACTATAAGCTCTATGTACATGGTAAAAATACCTCTATTACTATGGCTTTCTAGGCTAATATTTTTTGTCTTATCCCATATGTTTGAAGTTTGACTTTCCCTTTGTTAAAATGGTTTAGATGAAAGGTCAAACAGCAGAAAAAGTCAAAGCTATGTTTCTCAAGATGTTCCTTATAACGTAAAACAGTCATATATACTCAGTGTAAATCATCCATTAACCCACACAGACATGGTGACAGTGCATAGCTAATAAAATAAAGAAACGAAGCATTAAAAATTTAGAATTTCCAATACCTTAAAGTGATAAAAAGTTGCTCTTAACCCTTGGAATATGATGAAAATGAGCAGTAACGTAATACTAAGAAGTGTGATTATACTGAGTTTTGAAATTAACATGAATTATTAGAAGTTCTGAGCATATATGTACTGTCCATTCACAAAAGGCAGAATCTTGCAATATACTTCAACAGATGTGAAGGATGGAAGGTTTATACATTTGCTGGAGCAAGATCCTCCACACTAACGTGATGTATGGTGCAAAAAGAGTGAAATTAGAGAAGATCTAGAACAAATTTACCTCACCAGCTGCTTCACTTCCTTTAGCACAATGCATTATGATTTTTTGGTAATTTTCAATTTTTCAAAGTATTTGGAACTTCTGTCACTACGATAATTACTTATTTTAAAATATTTTAAAGGAAGGAAACATCTTCACAGACATATCATACCATAGTTTATCATTTTTATTCTAAGCAAATAAAGACTTCATTATTTTCTAGAATAAATCTAGATTGCCTACAAAACCTGCAAATACATCTTCCATTGCTTTCTTTATCTCTTTTTTTTTCTGAAATGAAAATTTCAAAAAGGCTACTTTTCATTTTCCTTCTAGTTTTCCGTTACTTGAGAACTCTTAAATTTTTATATCTATCATATTAAACCTTCAATCTCAAATTAACTATTGGCAAGCTACCAAACCCTTATTCTCCCCTGCTGCTTGACATGTAAGAGGAAACATAACTTACTGTATGGAAGGCCTCATTGATCTGTGTAACACTTACCTGTATTATACTCTCTAAATCCCATAACACCTAAGGGAAGGATCAGTCCAAACACATAAAATGACAAATATGGGACAATAAATTATTCACACAATATTTTTTTTTTTAAATAAAATGTTTTACTGCCTTATATCACTCACAAATAAACAGGAAAATGTGTATTTAAATACTACATTTAAAAACTCCTCCATTCCCAGCTATATTCAGTGGATTAAGTCCACTATTCTAACAGTATTGAATGCTTTTCATAAATCTTTTCCACAACAATTCTCTATTTCTATCTCTCTGCCTTTTTAAACCATACAAACATTTTGCTGCACTTTTGCATCTGTTTTATTATTACATAAAATAAAATATTAAACAGGCTTAAAATACAAGAAACCTCAAACTCAGTATCCATTTCCTTTAAAGGCTATTAGACTTCTTAGTATATAGGTAAATTCATGAGATAGATATGTTAGAAAAAACCTTATGAATCAGTTTAAGAAGACATCACATTAATTATATCACAAGAAAATGAATGCATTAGAAGTGAAGAAAATATGCAATGATCACTACAAAGGAAAATCAAAATGAAGAAGAGATGAAAATTAGTAGGTATGTCCAAAAACAGAGCGCAGTATTACTTAAAATGTGTTAACCTACAGTATGTAAAATATAGATTTCCTTGAAGTTGGGCATGTAAATTTATATGCTTTGCTGATACATCTCACATGCTTTCAGAACAGGACCTTGAGAACCAAGCTGTATAATTTTGAACGTTCATCTCCCACTCCACACACACAATCTATCAGAAGGTGATGGTATAAGTGCTGCATTTATAATGCAGTTCTCTTAACACCCATAATAGATGCACTGCAATGCATGACTAGAAATTATCAAAAACAAGTTTTACCTGATAACATCAAAACTTTAGGGATTTATATGAGGAAATAAGCCAGATCATCTTACTTTTTTTTTTTGAGTAATTGTATGAATTCAAGAAGCAGCATAAAAGCGAAGGTGTTATTCTATGTAGTAAGCAACTAACATTCTAAGTCTGAGCTAGGTATGTAAGTAATAAGTTCTACTTGCCTAAACAAAACCTGCATGGAGACCAAGAGGGTTCTAGGCTCCCTTCTTCCACTACATTTGCTTACAGTAGTATCAACTGGGAGTTAGCCATAAAAGTAGTGCTATAGATTAACAGGAGGGAAATAGACTTTTTCCCCTTCTACATTTACCAAACAGATCTACACTGATTGGCTATACATGTATTTACATTACTTAATATATCTATTTCTGCAAATCTGTTAAGTAAAGCACCCTACTACTAAGGAAGTCAACATGCAACATAACTAGAAGCAATTATATCTGTTTTACTAAAGTGAATATAAACTGGAAGCATTATGTGTGACTGATTTTCTAGGTTAGTAACTATGGAATACGGAGTAAGTTGTTTCAAATCCATACAATAATTATGGGGCACAAGATTTTCAACACAGTAACTTACTGGAATGGAGTGTGTAGGGGACTGTTAAAGAGTTCGATTTTACCAACAGATACACAGTTCATTACTGATGTCAAAATGGCAGTAGTTTCGGTGTATGAGAGCTTAATTCAACTCACCACTGAAATTTTATTACTGACCTCAAAGACAGCTGTGGTAACTGTTGGTAAACAGGCTTTTTTTAAAAAAAAAAAAATTACTTCAGCTCTAGATTTGTAATATCATTTTGGTATCTTTATCTGAAGAAGATGAAGTTGCTCAAACAAAATTAGAAAATATGTTTTAGACGAAAAACTGTTAGATAATCTGCTCATCCAATTAAAAACTACTTACGGCCAATTTCATTTAGCAATTATGAATCTGGAAACTAGAGAATAAAGCCTTGTGCTGGGCCAAAGATAGTAAATGCTGAACGTATGCACATTAAAGTCACCCTAGTAATTAATTAATTTGATAAATGTCTAAAGCTGGGATTAGACCTCAGTCTATCTATAAAGAAATTCTGAAGCACGTTCTTAACATCTTTGAAAAAAAGTTAGTATGTCACAATAAGCTGTCCTGTGTCCTGTACATGTGAGACTGCTTTTACTACTGAAGAAATTCATGCTTACACTAAATGATTCAGTATTCACATTCACAGTGCATGTTTTTGTATGATCTACCTAATTCTCAGCTACTTTATTTATGGACTTTAACTGGTGAAAAAAAAAAAATGATTCAAAAAAAGTATCAGCTTAGAAAACTGACAAATATGCAGCAAAAGATTATGGAAACATGCAGTGGTTTTGCTAAAATTAACAACAGTAAATAGAAAAATGTAACTGATGTATTACCAGTTTGTGCCATAAATTTAGCAGCATCAGCTTGCTCCTGAGGGACCCTTTTCTCATGAACAGATCGAGGCCGCTGACTTTTAATTGTATGATCTCCCATCATTCCAAATTCTAAAGACAGAATAAAGGTTTATGAAAGCTTGTGTGTAGACATTTCTCAAAAGTCACATACTGTCTCATGCAATATGTTCCTAAACATACCTGGAAGTTGCTGGTAAGAGTCAGGCAAGTGATCATGGCAGTTAACATCACCTTAACTTTGCTACACTCAGCTTTTAATAAATACTTAAATTTCTGTCTGCAGGTTTTCAAACATGATTTTATTGTATGAACCAACATTCAATCTAGTGACACATACTATAAATCAGCTGTATGACACGGGACAAAAACAATTATTCAAATGCAGATATTTTATTCCTATATTTTGAATCAGTGCAAACCACACCAGAAATGATTGTGATAGTGTTAGACATTGCTGTTCTACGGTAGAGCCTGCTGCTCCTCCAGAGGACTACTGTTTCTGCACTTGCCTTTCAGGCTGACAAAGCCTTCAACAGAGATAATGACCCATCTTTGGGAATGGTGGCAATGTGAAGTACTAAGAATTTAACCAACAAACTGCTTAATTTTTAGGCTGATTCCAGCAGAACAAGTGCTTGTGAAGTGTTTCTTTTCTGAAACTTCTCAGTTACAAAGACTATAGGTTATGTCTTGCCCTGGGTATTTAAATTAAAGAAGTCCCTATGGATCTTCATAGGGGAGTTACATAAAAATCAATTACAGAAAGGTCCAGAGTATGGGAGAGAAGAGTGCTTCATTTTTTATCCTATCACTGCTGTCATCTTCCCTCTCTGGTCCTGCGCAAACCTCCTAGCCTTCCACCTCAGGCTCCGTTTTCTCTTTCTGTGATGAAATGTGGAGGGTCCTTTGCACTTTGAGGGGGGCTGCTGTGTCTTCAGCCCAGCTCCCTGTGCTCCTCCCAGGCACACACGGCTGGTTGCAGCTTGGTGCTAAATACTCAGTTTCTGTTGGGGTTTTATTTTGGAAGTGTGTGCTTGGGAACTGTGGGTGAACACTGAAACTACTTCAACTACAACCACGTGAAGTTTCTGATGAGGCAGAAGGTGCCTGAAGCACTAGGAATACAAACATTAATAAATACCTTTCTGCTGGAAGGTTACCCTGCAAATGCAAAATTCAAAATTCTCCCCAATTTGTAAAGTCATGAAGATAAAACTTACCTTCCTGCCTCAAAAGATGCAAAACATTACATAAGATGTAAATGCTACTAATAAATATTATTTGCAAACACACTGTTTTGATAAATCATTAAAGGAAATATATTTAAATTTCTATTTAGAGTAAAGAAATAATAAAAGGTAAATATATTAAGAGGTCAATCAGCAGAGAGAGGTTTTTTCCTTTCTAGTAAATTATTAATATATTTCTCCACATCAGTATTTCTTTTTGTAAATATTCATTAATGGCATCACTTAAAATATAAATTTAATTATTCATTTGAGAACAGCAATGCAGTTTGCATCCTAAAGAGAATATCTGAAAATCTAATTAATTAAATATATTTTGATAAACATTCAACATTTTAATACATCCCAGAAATACATACAAAAGATAATAACATTATATATATGTATATGTACATACATATATAATATTATACATATATGTATGTCTATACATATATATGGGTGTTACAAAATTTTATGAATATAGTTTTACAAAATACACCTCTTCTACAGCTTCTCTGATTTAAGATAGCTTTTTATTCTGTGGGAAATCTCTTACTATAATTAAAGTTTTACAATCAATATTCTAACGTGAATTAAGAACAGAATGATACTTTTACAGTCTTTACAAGGTGCAGTACAGATGACCATTTACACTGTAAGTAACAGCATGGTGAAGGACCAGAGACTTTACATGGCTTTTCCCCTGAAGAGGCTGTGGAAGCAAGGCATGCTTGCTCTGAGTTTGCTGCCTGCTTGTCAGGCAATTTGGAGGCTACAGCACCACTCCTGCAGAAGACTTAATTCTATTTTTGAAGTTACAAATGGAGTGCAATAACGGGAGACCTTTGCTAGAGGAAGGCTTTCCTGAGGCATACAGGGAGGTGGTGAAGGTTGCGGCCCCGGTCCCGCAGCACCCTGTGCTGGGAGCAGGCACATGCAGTGTCCTGCAGGGCAGAAACCTCTGCCGAATAGGCAAAGGAAAGTCTGGGAGATCGGGTCTCAGGGTTGTGGTTTATACCCAGCGTAGCTCCATTCACAACGATGGAGTTACTCACGAATATCACCAAGCAAAAGAAAACACAAGTCGTTGATGCAGGATCTAATCATGCCTCCACTTTTTCCTTTTTCCACTTAGCAACAACGCATTTTTAATTTACACCTTCAATTCACTTCAACTATTGCCAATGGTCTTTGAGATGTACTTTTCAACTAATCTCCCTTTGCTATATTAAGCATTTATATAGTAAATATAGAAATATATACTAAAGACAAATGGTTCGTAACAAAGATACATGAAAATATTTATAAGTTTCGTCAAAAAATGGAACCAGATCTATGCAGCGCCCTCATTTTCATCTTCAGCTGAAGTACTTAACCAAATGCCCCACGAGAACAAAAGTGGTAACAGGAAATGCAGAGTACTGGCACGGGTGAGGGCTTTAAGACCTCATTAAAATTCAGGCCTCATAAGAGAAGAAAAATAAGGGTCAAGTACATTTTCGTAATGGGATCAGAAGTGTCCAGTTTCTGTGTATAAGTACAAACAGTGCTCTCAAAATCATTTAATCTAAAAAGCTCAACAGTAATGCATTTTTTATGAAGCATTTTATAATGAAACATTTTACTTAAGTGACTGGCATAGTTTACAATAAATACTAAACAGAATAAAACTTTCATCCATTTTCAGATCCTAGCTAAATAATGAAAGCAGAAGATGAACCAGTTATGCATTTGTTTTCCCTCAATACTTGACAGAGAAGTTTTTAAATGCTTTCTGGGCTGGGAAAGCATTTTAACCCAAGTCAGCCTGAAGTATGACTAAATGTCCCAGTAGTTTCAAGGACTTGTTTGTGTTGGTAAGGTGATAGGAACCATCTTACTCTAGACAGTATCTGGCATACAGGTGTCCTGCAAGGTCAATTCAGCATGATTCAAGACCTGATGTCTGGGATATAATATTGGATGTTTGAACTGAGATTCTGAGTAAAAGATTTTTTTCTCATTCTCTCTCTTCTTACCTAGTTCTTGCTGCTGAAAATAAATTTTCTAACCCAGAAGAAGGTATTTTTGCAGACATCGGTTTTTGAACAGAATATTTTGGTGACATCTGTCCTAATTTTCCCTTGGGTGAAACAGGACAGTCCTTCTCTGCTTTTACCTCAAACACGGATATTAATCAGATTGTTTCATTAAATAAAGAGGAACAATGAATCTTTTCAGCAGCAGACAGGTACATGGCCTGATCCAGAAATCACCAATGCGACTTAAGTTAGGCCTGGAAACATGAAAGTGTTTTAATGATTTTTATTACATTGTTAATGCTATAATCTGCCTGCACAAGAATAAAACTCATAAAGAAATACCTCAAAATGTAAATAACAGATAGCATTATGGGGAACCTTGAATGGGTCATTTTAACCAGACCGTGACCTATAACAAATCATAACATATTCCAAACATTTTATCTGATAAAAGAATTTATCCTGCTGTCATTGGTCCTTTGGTGGCTATGGAAGTACAATAGTTTCCTGCAAAAGGATGCATATTCTTTCTCTCCTCAGCTGTAGACAATGGATCAATACTTGAAAGTATTTTAGCAATGCATATATCTTAATATGGTTGTAATTTATAATTTCATTTTACATATAACTCTGAAGCATGTAATATAGTTGCATGCCTTCTAGGAGTGAAAAAAAATCACAATGACTTCTGAAATTCCAAAGTTTACAGTTGAGTATTATTTACAGCAACTCTTATCTGCAGTCCCATTGGCTTTACCTTTATTTTTATGTTATGTTATGGGAATTTTTATTCCTATTGAGTAACCTTTTTAGTTTTTAAAGGAGAAGCTAAAATCTTGCAGCCAATGTAGGTGTACGTTTTTAGGAGAGAAGAGAGGTGCCATGTGCTCTCTGTAGGAACAAAGAAGAAAAAACATCTGTTAACAGTATAAAAATGCAAAGTAGGAAGACTGAGCAATACAAAAGAAAAATATCAGCTTTGCAAGGTTCTACTCACCAATGGCTAGTCTTTGCTTTTTGACAAGTGGATAATCATTAAAGTTATGATACATGTCAAACAGATTTTAAGCCTCAGTCATTTAATAATATTTGTAAGTCTGTTACATATATCCTAGTCATCAAATAACATTATAAACCATGATGGTTTGGCTCTTATGGTTATTTTGATGTCACATTTCATGGGAACTTCACAGTGTAAATGTATTGATCTGGTTATAGGTGTACCATCTACTATGAATCATGCTATTTATGGCACAGAACACACTGGTGTTAATAAAAAAAGCTTTTTTTAAGCATAGTAGTTGGTGACGACAGTGTGAATGAACCGCTGAACTAAAAAAAAGTGATTCTGAGACCTTTAGGGTTACCCCTTCAGGGCATGTAAAATGTAAAGCAATCTCTGAGAGCTGCTGAGCGTCCTCAGCTTGTATTGAACCACCTGGAAGGTGATATGCTGACCAGCTCCCTGAAAGCTGATCAAAGCTTAAAAGCAAGAAGAGGCAATCGATCCCCCAAAGTGACTGTCATTTTCTTCTCTCACCCACGGCACTCCGCCAGTGTGCTTCATACTATCCTACCCACTCCTGAACTGTAAATAGTCAAATGAGTGTTTTCAATTACACTTGACTACGGAATTAATATTAAAGGCCTTGCAGCCAGAATGCACATTAATGCAAACTGGCTCACGTGCAGTAGCATGGCATCCTCTCTGTGCCAGCACACAAACGTTTTTTCCAGAAATTATGCAAAATCTGATGTAAATCCTAGGTGAAGGAGAAGGAGGGGTGCAGAGGGGGAAAGGAAGAAAGAAGGCTATAGAAATATACAAAGAACCAGTTTGTTTAAATTAATTTTTGGACTGAGCTACTAAGTGATTGAATAGGTCTGATTAATTGCAAACTTCAGGAGCCTGAAAAAGTTTCCTGCACATTTAATTTCTTCATAGCCCGTGCAACAGTTTCTCCCACAAAGATACTCCCACAACACGCAGTAGTAGCAGTACTTGGGGTTTCTCTTCACGCTCGCAGCTGGTCAGTACAATTTCTTCTGGTCACTAGATGGCAGAATGTGTGTTGACTTAGAAGCACAATTTTGCATTGATTTGAGAAGCTGGGACTTTCTGTTTCTTCTTCGCTATAAAATTCTTTCTCATATATAAAAAAAATTTCATTACATTCAAAGGACTGAGGGGGTTCTGTTTTCCTTTTTTTTTTTTTTTTTAAGTTTTTCTTTTGTAGGGCTGGAGAGTTAAAAAAAAAACAAAACCAAACACCCAAACCAAACCAAACATGAGCTGCAGTTGTTTTTCCCTTACAGTAAACCCTGTGACAAAAGAGAAGAAAATCCCAGGAGCACTGCCTTCCCTGTCTCCAGCCCTGCTTCACTGTAGCAGGGCACCCAGGCCCCACAAGGAAGCACTTGTTCTCCAGTGCTGCATTGGCAGGACACGGAGCTTCAGGGCATCAGTGAATGTCGTCACTCTGCAGTACAGATTTAAGCTATGGCTTTCTATGGGAACCCCTTAAAATGATATTTCCTCACCAGGCAGGCAAGTTGCCAAAATGGTAACATAGCTATTAGCTGAATTAGATTTCCATGGGAACCTCTTCTTAGCAAACGTGGAAAACATTCTTAAAACAGTCTTTGCCTACTTCCTACATAGATCCTGGTCCCATAAAAAGTCCTCTTTCGGCTCTCTGAAACAGTATAGAAGAGCTTTGACCAGTTTCAAACTGAATGGAATAATTTCTTTCACTAGAGTGAATTAAGATCTGAACTGAGCTGTATTCATGAACACAGTGAGAACGATCCTATTACTCATGAAAACACGGAGAGGATTTTAACAGTAGTGGGAATATGAAAGGCAATAGTATTTATACTAAAAAAGTAATTTTTTTTTATTATAATACACTCTTCCATTTATCAAGTAAAAGAGAAAGATACGTTAACATTTGT